AAAAACATAAGGCACTAAATGGAATATCTCAAAATCCCCTTCAAGCACATCTCAGAAGGAGTTTGTCCAATAAAGTATCTCTTTCCCTAATTCCTTGCTGTCCTTCTCCCATGCAGGTTTAACTGCTAAATGCAGGAGCAATGGAAAATAAATGTTTGTGGGGCCTTCATTAGAAGTCCCTGCATTCACACACACAGATGACAAACCCTATTCAAGAAGGACATTTGTGCTGCTCTTGTGCTTTTATGAAAGAATGTTCTCTACAATGTTCACTGCTACTGTTTTGTGTTTTGTTTTGCATCATTTTTTTTGTTTCATTTAAGCAGAAACAAGCTCACAGAAACACCAGGCAAGCAATATAAATGCACACGGTTTGAATCCTGGCCCAAATCTGCCAAAACACATTGCCCGTTTTCTCTTGAATCCAGCTAATAATGCAGTGATTTCTTAGAAGGACTAGAGGAAGGTATGTAATTAAAGAGTAACAGAGTAACATGATAGGTGACTTAATATTATATAAAGCAACAGATTAATCTGATGAAACAGGAGAGACAATGATATTTACCTTCTCACAATACTGTTCAAAACAAAACAGAGATAACTACTAATTAAAAGCTCTGTCTAAACAAGGCAATCTGCGTATCCTTACTTTATCCTGAATCAAATTTGACAAAAAAAAATACTGAACTACATAAAAGCCCAAAGCAAAGAGAGTAATGATAACAAAATGGTGCATGATGAGAGACTACCATTTTAAAACACTTCCCAAACATTTTTCTACATGAAACATTTCATAAAAACAAGACCAATTCAAATCCATCATAAAAACCATCACAAAACCAGAGTTTGGAAAACTTACTTTTTGGATTGTAATGGCTGTAGCCACCTTGGCCATGGTGGGTGAAGGATTCTAGAAGTAGTAGCCCCAAATAGTAATTCCTTCAAGCTTTGCACAAAGTATGACTGAAGCTGTGACTCGGACTCCATCAAGCCAGGGGCAAACCTGGGATTTTAACATGCACTATGTGTCCCACAGTCCCACAATTCTCTGCATTTGATAAGATTCACAATTGATAATGTTTTTTATTTATTCCTGTCAGGAGCATGCATTAACAAAATTTATATACCACTTTATATCCAGGAGAGATTGCAAAGTAATTTACAATATGATAAAGTCAAGTACAACAAATGTAGTATCGGCATTACAGCTTTTTCCAAAGCATCCCTTAATAAATTCAGTTCTGACATTTTCACAGACTACATTTAAAATATTACATTGCTCTTGTTATCACCTGGAAATGCAGGTGTATTACTGTTACATGGGGACTCACTTAACTGCAATACAAGATACTAATCACAAATGGATCAACCCTCAGTTGGGAAGGACAAACGGCAACATTCTTTGCCTGAAACTACTCTTGAAAGTCATGGACTTTTCAAAGCACATTCTTAAGCAACACAGTGACAACTCTTATTAAATGGAACTGAAAAATTTGTATCTGTACGCAGATCTAAAGTTCACATTCTACATTAAATGTCTTAGCGTATCACTAGATTTGCTGCATTGTTTTCATACCAAACATTTAAGTAGATTACTATATTTTCTTATAAAGCAGTCAGAAACCCAGTTACCTTCATGTCACTTGATAACAACTTTTCTCCAGCTCACATCATCAAGGAAAAAGCAGCTTATGACGGATTGTTGTAGGTTTTTCGGGCTATATGGCCATGTTCTAGAAGCATTCCCTCCTGACGTTTTGCCTGTATCTATGGCAGGCTTCCTTGAAAAACCTACAACAATCCAGTGATACCAGCCATAAAAGTCTTTGACAATACACGTCTTGTTGCCTTCAAGTTGTTTCCAACTTATGGAGATCCTAGGTCAAATCTATCACAATGTTTTCTTAGCAAGATTTATTCTGAGGGGTTTTGCCTTTGCCTTCTTTTGAGGCTAAAAGTGTGTGACTTGCCAAAGGTCGCCCACTGCGTTTTCATGGCTCGATAAGGATCTGAAATGTGGTCTCCAGAGTTGTATTCCAATGCTCAAACTAAACTGTTGTGTGCTAAATTTCAGTGGAAGGCAGTGGTAAATCAACTCTGATTATTCCTTATCTATAAATGCACATTGTTCACAATAAGTCAACGTTTTTGTCTTTTTTGTCTGTTTTTGGTCTTGTAGAGCCATGCATGCAGTTGATCCAAACATAAATTTCAGCATACAGTAATGGAGAAATCAGTTCAATGCAAGCAGAAGAACAAGCAAGATGTCCTTTATTTGACTAGTACCACTTTAAAAGTCAACACAAACCTATATTACACAGATATTGATTCATCCAGATACTAAACTTTTGTATTTTTTTAAAAAAGCACCCTAGATCACAAGATGTCCCCCTTCCACATGCTTGACTTGGACTCCTGCGATATAATTTTTCTAACAATGAAAAGAAATCATCAAAGCTTACAAAATTTTATATTCACTTTTCTGTTCTTTTGTCGAAATTTCTGCATATTTCTGTATTCTAATGAGATCGATCTCAACATGTACCCTTCTGCAGCAGTAGTCACTGAAAAGCATCAGATGATACAGCCTTATATAGCCCTCAGCAAAAAATCACATGGTTCATTGTGAGATTTTAAAATGTGGAAGATTTTGGGCTTCCTTCATGCATTGGTAACTGGCAATACGCTCTACAAATCCAAGATAATGGTCACTTTTGGTTCCCTGCAGTGCCCAAGACTCACTCCCTCAATGTGTGGTAAATGAATTGCTGCCAATCACAATTGCCTTATTAGGCTCATGTAGAGCCACACACCTAAGAATCCATCTGTCTTTCATGTCTTAGTAATGCCCATGTTGAAGAGTTTTTTGTTCTAATGCCAAGCAAAGCACTCACTCTTGCGCTTCTTCCCCTCTAAGTCACTCTACCCTGAGCACAATTTTTTAAACACAGAGAATTCAAACGATAGTGTTGCCAAATATATAGAACTATTCATACAGTAGCAAACCAGGAAAAATGTAGCCCTTTGAGCATTTAGCATGTGGCTCCCAGAGCGGATGGATGTACTTCCTAGAGTAATTCAGTCTTTTTACTAGTATGTGTTCCTGGCTAATTAAAACCAGAGGGAGGGAGGGAAAAAACACTCATACAGCCAGTCTCACAAGAATGCAAGCATGTCATAATGCACCGAGTGGAGATTTGCATATGCTAGAATGCAACATAGGAAACTACTCTTAATTGCTAGAGAATGAATCTGTGTAGAAGGACATGGTATATCACAATTAAGTACAATGGCAAGTCCAAAAAAGCTTCATTAAGACCGCAGTCTTGGACATAGCTACTATGAAAAAAGCCCTACTGAACACAATGGGGCTTCCTCTGAGTTCACATTCATAGGATTGAACTATAAGAGTCTATATAGGTGATTCAAACAAAAGTCGGTTTTAACTCAGTTTGTCAGCAAACTATTTTTCCCACAGTAAAGAAAGAGCAAATCCTCTCAAGTTTATCCCTTTTCTCTCAAGAAGCAAGTCCTTAGCAACAAGGAATATGACTGAGAATGTGTACAAAACTTTAGTAACTGCTCTTAACAGCTTATCCCAGGAAGGGAAAAATTGGTGCAATGACTTAAGCTTTGTTCAGGTCACTATACTTTCTTCAACATGAGAACAAGAAGGAACTTTTGATGTTACTGTTCACTCTATATAACAACAACAACAACAACAACAACAACAACAACAACAACAACAACAACAATTTTTATACCCTGCCTCCATCTCCTCAAAGGGACTCAGGGAAGCTTACATGGAGCCAAGCCCAACAGAATAGTTAAAACATAATACAGTAAAATGCATATCAACAAAAGCAATATATATCGGGAGAGAAGTTCCTGTTTGCAGTGAGTTACCCATGTAAACAAGATCCCAGATTTCTCAAGGTTCTTGTTTTGTGGTTAACCTTCCTGGACACAGGGGTTCCTCCCATACATGTAAGTTAAAAGCAATAATCAAGATGAGTCTAGTTACTCTCCAGTTCTTGTTTTGAGGAAAACATGGGGAGACATGCAAACCTACCTGACCAACAGGGAAGAGAGGCATAGGGATGTATTCCAGAGGGCACAGAGAGACCAAGTACTGGGGATAATAACCTCAACAATACAGGGAAAAAATGTGCCCAACAGTTTGGCAGAAATAGACAACCAGGGACTAGCTATAGAGAATGACACAAGCTATCAGGTGTCTCTACAATAATGCACAGGGCATGAGAAATAAACAAGACAAAATTGAAGTCTCAGCACAGGAAGGCAAATTAATTGTATGAGTGGAATGTGGCAACTGAGGGGAACAACTTATTCCAAAAAAACAGATGCACTTTGCCCCCCCCCCCCCAGTGTGTGTGCATGAACAAACACAGAAATTATGAAGTGACATATATTAAGCAGGGAAATAAAACGTTTAAACTCTGGAACCTGATGCCTTTTATTCTTGTACATTAGCCTATATGGATGTTAAAAGGTCTTTCTAGAACATTTCCTGACATTGCAAGATATGCAAACATGAGACAGACTATCGCCTGGACATCACTTTGGTCATGGAATAATCTGCCCATGGAGGTTTGCCTCTTTTGCTTCTTTTCCTTTAAGAACAGTTCATTTGGATACACTGCTATTAGCATTTGGACAGACAATTTTATTCCAGTGAACTTGGCTGAATGCTGTGAGGTGAAATCTTCTGAACAGGGGCACAGACAACAAAACAGACACCACAGAGATGTTAATCCTTCCCTATGCGATCCAAAGCATTTTGGCTGGATTTATTTTTTTAAAAATATACGTATCCCAGCTTACAAACAAATTCAGATTAAGAACAAACTTATAGAAACTACCTAATTTCTACCTTGGGGACTGGTTGTACTGGAAAATGAAGTGATTTATTAAAGAATACTAGTTGCCTCAATCAGATCTCAGCCCACATTTCTATTTTTGAATGATAAGTAACTTACCTTCCTTTTTGCTGATTTGTTCCTGTCTTCCAACCAATCATCTATCTGTTCTTCAATCTCTTCAATAGATGCACTATTATCATATGATGGTATATATGTATTTGTTTCAGCCACTGTATATACAGGAAATTCAGATTTTGGTTTCTTGACTTTAGGTTTCTTTTCTTCTGCAAAACAAAACATAATTTTGATTACTAATTCTACTCCGAAGCACTGGTCCAGAAATCTACTACACCAAAAAAGGTTAATTTAGACAGCAATCACCCATCCTGATCTTTAGTTATTGAATGAGCAAAGAATATATTTGGCAATATACTTTTTCAGAAAAAACAAAGTTTATAAAAAAGTGCAACCAAAACTTTGGATGTCTTCTCAGCCATATTGAAGAAGGAAACAGAAACTCCCGATATCTAGGTTTATGAACATTAGGCTAAGATTTTTGCTATAATTAAAACTAGATTTTTGACTTAAAAGTTACCTTTGAGTAACATATAGACTTGCACTCCAAGATTTCTATGCTTTGAACAGGAGTCTGAGAGGATCTACATTCAAGTATTCAAGTCTTCTATACAAATACGTAACTTTTTATGCTGCTTAACATAGCAGCAGTGTTGAAAATAGGGTGGCTTAGTTGTATGAATGGGTCAAGGGCCATGAACCACATTCACCAGCATAAAGTTATTATACACTTTTTAGAATGGTGTAAATATACATATATTAGTGTCATTATGCTGGATTACACAGCTGCATAGCTGACTAATATGCAACAGGTATCACAGCTTCAATCTCATTTCTTACATAATAGTTAATTCACTTCCCACCTAATAAACAATGGTTACATTTTTTTTACATTAGAATAGAGCTGTAACAGATCTTTAGTCCAGACAGCCTTGGTTCGAAAACTCTTCCTATTCCTGATATACCTGGCATCGATCTCATCAAAATAAAAGACTCTAGGGATTGGGAGCACTGTCAGTTAGCCTACCCGAGTATCCTGGAGATAGGCTGGATCAAAATGTAATTTAATACTTACATATATAAAACTGCCTGAGCAATTTGTTTTATAACAAATGGAATTATTTGATATTTCCTTATAAGTAGAGATATTATGTATCATTGACCCAATCAAGGTTCTCTTGATTCCAGTGCAAAACATTCAAATCTAATCAGCTTCATAAAATCCTTATGCCCTTATTTCCCCGTGCCCAGAAACCGATGATTAGGTTCACTGGTTGTTGGTTTGATGGTTTGCTCTTACATTTTGTTATAATGTTGCTGTTTTATTCTGTTTTATGCTGTTGTTTATGTATTGTAGTGTGTTATTTTGACTATGTTGACTGGACATGTCTCCACGTAAGCTGTTTCGAGTCTGTCCAGGGAGATGGAGGCGCGGTACAAAAATAAAGTTTTTATTTTTGTTGTTATTTCCTCTATAATGGATTAAAAGTTAAACCTACTGGGGGCAGGGATCCATACAATAACAGAGTTAAGATACAGTTACAATTTAAAATTATTTCACGCTGTAGTTTCCTCCTGTCATCATAACAAAGACGGATGAAACTAGATATATATTCTAGAATTGTAATAAATCAATAAATGGGGAAAATTAGAAAAAATCAGAACCATGGAAAGAGTATTGCATCCTCCTCTTTTGCATTACAAAACAAGCCAATCAGAAAAAAGTTAAAAGACTGTTCATATCTTTTCCAAATAATAATGCAACTTCATATATCATAGTTAAATAATGCTTCAGTAGTTGAAGGAATCTCACTAATCTTCACGTTTTATATATGTACGTTTTCTATAAACATTTCCGAAATATGTATATAATTTTCAGCACATTTTTATAATTCCTAAATATCAAACTAATTAGGGATTGCAATAACATTTGTCATTTGAATTATTTCCAGACAGGTACAAAAACCAAGAAAAGATTACAATCACATCTGATTTTTGGGACCTCTTCCATTTTTGTCACATTTCTTCACAACATTATATGACTCAACTAATTTTCTGGGACACAATATGAACATTTCTACAAATGAGTAAGAATCCAGGGAGCATTCAACAACCTCATACAGCACTTGATATGATCCCAAGCAAACTCATTTTTGTGCATTTGCAGAAAACAGCAATTTACTCACATTACATTTGAGGAATTGGGAAGTTTCTCCATCTTCCACCTCTTATTTTAAAAAAGTTAAACTGGATCAAGAAAAGAATATGGAGACTCACTCTGAAGTGTTTCAAGTTCAGCTCTAGCCAAAGCCTCTTCTTTCTCCTTTATTTTTGTTTCTTTATATTCTACATAGAGTTGTCTGGCTTCCTTTAAGAAAAATGTAATGATATTAGCATCTCAAAATCAGCTCGCTGCAATGGTACCATTTTTAACTTTACATGATTAATTTCAAGTCCCAGCAATTAATCACTTAGAGGAAAAATAAGTGCTGGGTTGAAATAATCAATTAAAAGTTAAATTTGTTACACATGAAGGAGAAAAAAGTATGAACAGCAATTTGCACACCATGTCATACTCAAAAGAACACAATGATAACATTGAATTAAAACAAAATGTTACTGTAAACTCTCGCTATTGAAAATGTAATTAAGAAAAGGAACTGTTTAATTATGATAGATTTGAAATTCTTGAGTTTACTGCAGGGTGCAAACCCATTTTCTCAGGAGTCACTACGACAAATCACCTGAGTTCAATTCCTTAGTTTTGGGGAACTGAAAGCACCGATCAATTAAAGCATTTAGAGATGCACACAACCAAACATCATCAATACAATGGAAGTGAATGTGATGCTGTTTGAATAGATGTATAACTTTCTTTCTTGCATCAAACTCAAAGAAATCTGAGCTTTGCATTTAAAATGAAAGAGCTACAGAGAGCAGTGTACACTAGCCCTGGCCAGTTGTTGCCCAAATAGCCAGTCTCAGATAAAGCTTCACCACTAAAGATTTTTTCTGCACACCACCAAAACAGACAACCAACTTTCCTATCAAGGTTGGGGGATCTATATATCACTGCTTTTGTAACTTTCAGACATCAGACTTCAAAGTATAACTAACTGTCAATCTCTGGTGTATCAAACTGGAGAACGCTGATGGGCAGATGAAAGATAAAATGTTCGGTACTATTAGTTGTGATTCCATTTCTAGCTGAATTTCATCACACAGAAGCTAAACTTCAAAGAAAGGTATTTCCAGCAGAATCACTATACTATGAATAACCCATCCATAAAATCTTCTGTAACCAATAGGAAAGTAAAATATTTAATTGAGTAGCCTAGACCATGAAGATACTATGCTCTTGGGCATAATGTGAAACCAACCAAACAAACAAAAAAAAAAAAAACATAATATATCATGTTTTTTTAAAAAAGTTCAGAGCTTGATGTTCTTGAGTATTTTTACCTTGTTACAAACAAGCAAAAACAAAAACCTTAAAAATATGGACCTTTTCTCTATTCAGATTCTAAACTTGAAAAAGAAACATTTGATTATCATATCATGATTATGTATATCTATTCTTTATTAACTATTATAATGAGCCCAAGCAGAAATATTTTCCTATAACTTTAATCCAAAACTTGGAAAAGCTAGTTTTTCAAAGTAAACCCCTCCAGCCTGCAAATTCCATGGCCATGCTTGTTGGTGGATCCTGTAATGCAAAAAATGTAACTTTTCCAAGATATGTTTTAACATCCATGAAATTCAGCATGATAAGGAAATAACGATGCCTATTATTTATCTCCTGATGGATGAAATAATGTCCATTTTCTCTTCTACTGCCTATCTATCTATCTATCTATCTATCTATCTATCTATCTATCTATCTATCTATTTATTTTGTCTGACCATCACAGCTATCATTCACAAGCATTTCATGTCTGTCTGTCTCAGGAGCATTTGTATTCCATACTATCAAAACATGATACAAGTTGTTCTTCTAATTCAACAACTTGTCCCAGTTTTTGGTAATTCATTAGTGCTTTCAATTAAGGCATTACACATCAGGAAGAGTTCATCCCCTTATAAGTTACCCCTGTCATCTTTCCCAGAGATTGTTTCAACTGATGACAGAAATAAGGCAGATGAAAGGAGCAGGAAACAGAAACTGCTCTGGGAATTCAGTATAATTTTTTATTGAAAGTCTTTTTATATTATGAGCTTCCTGTGGCTGCTAAACACACATGAAGGCAGATATATAATGTATGAATTGACTGTTTATACGTACTAAATCTAATGTTAAGGGAGGAATTCCCTTAACTAATATCTTTCACCCATTTTTTGCTTATTTACTTGCAACATTTGAATAGCTTTATCAAATAATTAAATTGACAGCATGTCCCTTTGGAAAAGTGGGTGCTTCCCATGTGATTTTAGTAAGCCATTCAAATTAAGTAAATGAGCACATATGAGAGATCTGAACCAAATCGAAACATCATGGAGAGGGAACTGCAAAAACAGTCATTCCTCTGACCTGAGTTTCTGACTGTATGAACCATAGTTCAAGTTACATAATTTAGCAAGGAGAAGACTCTCAATCCCGCATCTAAAGTAAACAGTACAAATCCATATAAGGAGGACTGGCAAAAAAATCTCTAGTACTTCCACCATTTTACAGATCTCATATACAGTGAGATCTTTGTGTTTAGATGACCCTAGAGAACACATGGGTTTCACAAGAACTGCTCGTCTCCCACTTCAGACATTTCATTAGCAGCAACGATTGAGAAGCATGCGCAGACTGGACTGCTGCTCTCCTCTGCTTGGTAACATAGCAATCAGCTCTCCTTGCATCAGAAATCCATCTTAATCTGCCTCCTCCTACCCCCATTGTCCACAAAATAATTAAAAATAAAGCTCTCAAAAATGCTGTGAAAGCTGCAGACCATTTTTCTTCTAACTCCAAAGAATAGGGAACAGCTGGCATAGCAGAGAAGAATAAAATGACAACAGCTAACCTGTGGACATGCATACAAAGCAGTTTTCCAAAGTAAAGAAGTACCTTAATTATTTTAAGTGCCTTCATGTATTAGAGTTGGGGAGGGGAAAGAAAAAGGGGCAGGAGCGATGGAGCACATTTGGTTGGGTAAATGACAATCAGATGTAGGTAGCAGCTTTGCAACGTGATTCATGTAAATGGATATTTAGCTACCTTATCCCTCACATGTCTTTTAGGTTGTATTAAAATGACACAGGTTTGGATCCCAAGAGTTCTCCAGCAATATGGGTAGAAAGCACTTCGGTTCACATATAGGTTGTGTGTCTTGTTCAAGCTTCTGCCTTACTCCTACATTTGCTCCCTTTAAAAAAAAAAAGCCCTATATGCTAAGCTTTGTGCCAAGCTTTTTGGAGTGGGAGGAGACCTGGTGCAGAGTTGCTCATAAGGGAATGATGTGAAAAGTGGTCCCTCATTCTCACAGGAATTACACTGCAGTTGCAAAACAGCTTTAATTAGGTGGCAGCAGGCATGAGAAAAATGCCTGATTTCAAGAATGAAGAGACATCCAGCTGCTTAAAACTTTCAAGGAATTAACTAACCTTCCTTTTCCTCTCCCTACACAAAAATGTTTTAATTGGAGGTAAACTCAGACATGCTGGATTGCATTTGTTATTTTGTGCTCTGTCCAAATGTATAACTGAATTCTTCTTGGGAACATACGGCTTAGCTACTAGGAGTATGTTTTATCTATGGCATCTGATATGCAGCCTCTGCCTCTTCTTGAAGATAGGGATATAGCTGCTATAATCGCTGCCTGGTAACCTTGAGGATCGGCTACAGTAAGGCCAATGCAGGACTGTGTTTTTAGAAGGCTCAGTTGGCACAAAATGCGGTTTGCCTCATCCTCCACATTCTCCTTCTTTTAGTCAGCAAGAGCACCAACAATAACACCAGTCATTGGAAAACCTGCTCTGTGTTCTCCCACCTTCTCATTTAGAACAGATAATGTGTTATTTTCACTATGCTTAAAGTGACACTGAGGTTTATAGCAAGTGAGATTATCAGGCTGTTGTAATCAATTTAAAAAATGCAGCTTAGAAACTGGACTACAGCCAGATAAAACCTACCAAAGGCTTTCCAAATTTAAAGTTTTTACTTTTTTTAAAGTCTGCCAAAAGGATAACACCCTCTACTTCTATCAGGAACGCAATGTCAAAGGCTTGGAAATGTCAGAATAAAGACTGTAGTTCCAGAAGTAGATGTGCTAATCACATGGCATCAGGATACAAACAACAAAACCTGGCTAGCCACAATCAAGAGATCTGGGTCTGAAAGCAGCAGCTCCTAGGCATTTCAGACAGTGAATGCCATTTAAGATCTTAGATTCACTTGGTAAACTTGCTTAGACCTTGCAATGTTCAACTTTAAAATGCTATCACAGCATTTTGCACCATCTGAAGCTCAGAAATACTTTCAATGACAACTCTTTCTCTACCTACACACACACACACACATACTTCATTATAATAGTTAATGTGATTCTTTCTTTTATAAAAATTACAGGGTGACAAAAATCAGTTCTTCCCAAATGAAGTGCAGACATAAACCACAAATATGGTTTTGCAACAGATACTTTTGGCTACCACCCATAGGGATAAGAATATGTCAGCCCTATCTAGCAGAGATACACTAATAGACACCAATATCTTTTCAAATCTATTCACTATTTCATGATAGTTACAGAAATAGAGTTCGAGAACACTCTTATCCCCATTGCAATTTGACATTGGGAGCTGTGGTTTGGTGAGGTACCAACCCTCTTTGGCAAAGAAGGCAAAAAGCCTTGTAAAAAACCACATCTCCCAAAATTCCATTGAGACATGGCAATTAAAGTGGTGTCAAACTTCGTTATTTCTACAAGGCAGATGCACCCGATGTGTAAGAATAGTAATAGTGAATCACAGCCATGTCTACCTCACTAGCCTCTTGTTCCAAGATTGATCATAGATGGATCTTTGAACAGAGCCCTTCCAATCAGGTCTCTGTAATGAACACAAAATTATTTATCTATTTTAGATTTTCCACCGTGGAAGAGGAGGAAAAGATAGGAGATACAGAACTCATATTACCCAGGCTGAACCAGAGAGAAAGCCAATATAGAAAAAAATCCTAACTATCCTTATTTTCAAACTGTATTTTCTCCTACAACCTAGCATCACATACAATTAAGACTTGAATTTCTTCCTCCTACACCAGTGGTTCTCAACCTGGGGTCCTCAGATGTTTTTGGCCTTCAACTCCCAGAAATCCTAACAGCTGGTAAACCGGCTGGGATTTCTGGGAGTTGTAGGCCAAAACACCTGGGGAACCACAGGTTGAGAACCACTGCCCTACTCCATGCAACACACTTCACCAAACAGCCCTAAACACTAAGTAATCTCCCACTACTTGATTTATGCTAGAATGCCATATGGTTCAATACTGCCTAGAAACACTGCAGTGACACCAAACCAAAATAGGAAACCAAACTGGGGAAAGGCAACAGACCAAGCCATGTCATGATTGCAACCTGTTCAAGAAAAGGTTGTATGGTCAACGCAAGTTGTTTGATTGGGTCTCAACAGTTTCCCCATGACCACTCTTGGCAAGTGGAAATAGAGAACTGAAGGATCCAGTTTTCTATCTGTATATAGCTTTGGCAACCACACAAAAGCTATTCACTGTGGTTTTGCCAAGTCCAACTATTGAGCTTCTATGATTAAAAAGTTAATTTTTTCCTCCCCACTCCATCATCTTAGATAAATATGCCAGCACTTCTGCCATCAATAAGAGTTTGATACTGATGTAGACACTGATATAGTATGAAAGGTTAATAGGGTAAGAAAATGCAAATTTGAAATGTAACTTGTGTTCTTCATCACTAACACAAATAGAAACTTGCACAAAAAGCTGCAATATAAGTTATTGAGCTGCTGTGGTGCTATATTCATAATATCTTAAGCAACTCATTTTTATAAATTTGTTAATAAACAGGCAACCTTGAAAACAACACAATATTGTTTTATAACATTGGTCAGAAATAACTCTTTTAACACACTCTGCTGTACACTAAATTGATACAGGACACCATCCCCAAAACCCACCCACAATATTTAACACTGCACTACAGCATGAATTTTAAGACTCTTAAAATTACTCAAATAATATATGGGAGTGATACACTAGTGGAGGGGTCAAGGTATCTGATAAGTTACTGAAGCAAGATTTATCCTGTCTGAAGAGTAAGATTTGTTTTACTGTCTTGCTACCTGCATTATTGTTCATGCTTGCATATTTTATTATTCCTATGGTATATATTTTAACACTATTGGGCCCAATATAAACAACAAATCTTTCAACACTCTGGGTTGTTGTAGGTTTTTCCGGGCTATACTTTCAACACTCTGTTATTGATCCTGAATTTCTAACCCACCTCCCATTTTCCCCATTTATTTAGTAGACATATGGACATCCTGAGTGTTTATAAATCAATGCAAATATAGGAACCATGGTGGCTTTACATTTCACAACTACAGAATATTCACTAGTCTCAAAATAACAGGACAGTATAACAGCACATAATAAGATTAAATATAGGGATTTTTTTTACAAAGTTGCAAAAGTAGAATATTGCTCTGTTGCTTTACCTGAAAGACTTGTGGCAATGATTTTACTGTTAGGTAGAACCATATCCCCAACTTAAACGGAAGCAGATCCTGCCACTTTGGTTTCTCCAATATTCTGTAAAAAGTAAGAGTTTCCAGATATTATCACAAATATCTTGTTCCCTTCATTGTCATAAAAGTTTCAAACTAGGAATTTGGAGTGATAAAGTAACCAGCCATCTATCATGGGGGGTATGCAAATATTTTAAAACAGAATATAACTGCAAAGACAAATATCTTCAGGGAACCATTCCTAAACATTGTTCGCATAGGCACCTCACAAAATAAACCTCTCTGCCTTTCATGACGGCTTCAGGGAAAAACAGAAATAGAAGAGAAAGACCAACCACCAATCAGACCAGTCACAAGTGCTGACAACCAGATATGAAGACTGTAGCATAAACAAACCAATACATAAAAATTAATGTCATTTGCAGTTCACTGAAGCATTACTCACTGATGTCATCAGAACATAAGACAGGCAGAATAGTCTCTGCTCTCTACCCTGCATTGATCCAGTTCATGCTCCTGCTGTGTGAACTATTTAAACCCTTTATTTCTTTCTATGAATCGATACAAGAAATGGTGGTATCTTTTGGCGTATTCTGAATGTCAGTATTCCTCCACCCCATGCTGTCGACCTCTTTAAAAGGAGGAGAGCTAGACCTCAGGAGGAGGAATATTTTACTGATACTTTTAGCACTTTAACCTAAAACCAATGTAAAAGTAATTGTGAATGAATTTCATAAACAAAATGCAATGACTACTCTGGATTTAATGAGCCCCTTCTGCTTAATGCTGCTCCTAAAATTAAAGAATAAACTCAGATGTCAATTAAATTAATTCTGGATATTTTTCAAAGTCTGCTGCTAGTTTTCCCGAAATCTATACTAATTTTGTACCATTAGTATGCACCTCCATCTAAGAAATTATTAGAAATAATTATAATTAATATCTTTAGCAGAGTTTTTAAAAAAACCTATAAATAATCTTTTCAAGGAGTGTCAAAATATTCACAACAGATTACTTTACATGCCTGGTATGTCACAAACTATTTCAGCACTTTTCAACAGAAGCAGTGATTCTTCCAGAGAGAGATTTCCTGCAGTTCCCACCTTTCATTCTTGTCTAAACCAAGTTTCACTTCATCTGTATTCTTCCCTCCTGCTCTTTTTTTCTTCTCTTTCTTTTTTCTACTAAGTAGTTCATCCTATTAAATAAAGGAAAACATTAGAGGTTATCAGAAGCATATGTAGTATTATTCATTGTTCAATCAAGAATAAAACTGAACACCATTTATGCAAATGTATGGGCAGTACATTATTTTAAAAAATCTGTTACTATGTCATCCATTCCTTAAAACACATATGAAGCCCATCTGTCAGTCAAGTGTATATCTATAGGAAGCAAAGTTTCCTCTCCCTCCCTCCCTCCCTCCCTCCCTCCCTCTCTCTCCCTCCATCCATCCCTAGCTTGCAATTTCAGTTTTCTTTAAAGATATAGCCTTAAAATAGGGAGCAAAGTAGCTTTGAAATTATGAAATGCACAAAACTATAAAATATTTTTCTTTCTAGTGAACCAGAAGCAACCAACATTTAAAACATTTCTTTCCTTCTGTGATTTTACCATTTGAACCTTGGGACATCTATCTTGTTTGAAAGACACTTCAGTTTGGAGGTGGGGAGAAACCTCCATTAACACAGAGGCAGAGAGAGCATGAATTTCAAATACGAAGCAGTGGGGGAAGGGGCAAGGGAAAGAACCCCAAAAACCCACATTTGTACAGTTCCCAATGATTTTTTGGTTTCCAACTGCTAGCTTTTAAAGCACTTCACCAGCTTATCACATAACAGGTTTCTAAAACTTACCTTTTACTTTCTTTTAATGCTGCAAATATTTTAAAAGGAAGCAATTTACATACAATTTGAGTGGGAACTACTCAGTTACTGGAAGTATATTCTGGAACCATACTGACGCTAAGCCATTAGTTTTTAAAAAAAGGGAGAGATGTGAATCATAAAGAATCTACAATCTTTCAGGGATTTTAGATTGAGCTTATTACCAATACTTACCAATTGTTTTTCCAGGTAGATTGACCAAACTACAGCGTAATGGCCCACTGTGAGGATAATGAACAACAGCAATGCCAACTCAGCATTGCTCATTTTCCTCACTCGCCTGTAGTAAAATACAGGCTGACGCCAATCTGGTAGACCATTGATCAGAATATCATCATACCTACGGTGTTAAAAATAAACAAGCTCTCATAAAATAGTTAAAATTAAATCATTTAATGACACAAGAATGACAAGCATGTTTTACTCATCTATGTTTATTTTAAAAATTAAGCTCCTACGAGAGTATGTTTTGTCAACATTTAATCTGGGTTCCTGGGATAGATAGAATTCTATAACCAGCCTGTTGTGAAAATGTTCTCCAGCGAATTGCATATAATGGTGACTCTGCTGTTCTTACAGCTCCCCCAATTGATTCACTTGAGAAGTGTTTCTTCTCTACAATGAACCATATGTTCAACCTACCTGTCAATCACTGGTCATGTTCCCAGAATAAAAGAATTACAAAGGAATGATTTTAAGTGGGAAGACAACCACCACCAAATCCATTTACTTGCGATGATTCCTCAACTTGTAGAAAAAAATACAAAGAAGCAACCTTTACTACGCAGAAGAAATGCAGTTTCAGCAAATCCTTTTCTTTTGACATGAACATTAATTTAGAAACCAACTGTAATTTATTAGTAATCAGCTTGTTTTATAGAAACATGCTACTTGAATTATTAGCCTTCTACAAAGTCTCTTTTTTACTGGGCAACCTGCCTTGCTCTTTTCCTCCCATGCTTTATATAAAAATTCATTTTAGAAACCTGTTTTTCTACATTTATTCCTCTTTCAAGTATTGTACTGCTTATTTAGAATACCCCAGATCATCAAACACACATTCCATATTTCCTATCGGCATTGATATCTTTTAGTAGGAAAACAAATGAGTATACAATTTACAACACTTAGAATGAAGACATTTAAAATACTGTATGTTCAAATTAACCCTAAATGGAACACAGCTCATTGTATATTCTAATCACGCTACTTGCAGAATTAAATCTGCACTGAAAGGCCTAATTTGGTGCAACACATTGACCAAAATATTTTAATTAAAAATATTCTGAGTTAGGTGCAGGCCTAATTACAGGAACAGAAATAGGGCCTATATTGTCATGCAGGTCAGTAGAACTCAGTAGTAGGTTTTTCTCAAGTAAATTGACCGATCCAGGAATAATAGCACAGCTGCTAAACCGCCAGTCTTGACATGTAAATCAATTGAAATGCAACAACTGCAGTAGCTACTTTCATAGTTATTAAATTGATACCTTGGAGATAGATTAATGAGGAAAAGTGATTTTTGCCATTTTTTTTAAAAAGAAACCCTTGATATAAAATAATTTTATTCAACAGTTTCTTCTAAATGAATTCTTAATTGTATGTCAAAATTGTTGGCAAAAATATTCAACTAATTTCTATTACTTAAATATGAGCAGGATTAATATTACATAACTACTGTTGATTCTAGCATGATTTGTGCAGATTTAAAAACTAGAAATGATGTGCAAAGTCATAAATTTTCTTGATTTTTTTCATTTGTTAGACAATTGCTGCAAGACTCGTTTTTCCCCCCTTAAGAGAAAAACCAAGCCTCAGCAATTTAGCAAAAGTTGTTTTCACTCAAAGCAGAAAAAATAGATATTTCAAGATGTCTCTTGAATGTTTTTTTTAAATTGTATCAGTAACATTAAAAATAAAAAAATGAGAAAATAGGAAAATATATTGCAAATTACACAAAAATGTTAAACTTAAGGACTGTTAAAATCTAAAAGATGTCTTCTTTGCCTTGCAGGAAACTGCAAGAATATATATATAATTATTAGTACTTTATCTTTCAGAGTTATCATAGGCCTTGAGAGCCCACACATACATGCAGGAAAATTCATGTACTAACCACACCAAACAGCACTCTGTATTTACCGGGCTACGACTGCTATCCTGAACAAAAGTCTCCAAGGATTTAGTTCCAGAATCAATGCTCTATTGATTTTACTATCAATGAACATTATGGTTCACACGACTGGCCATTTTAAGGGAAGATAGCTTCTATTATAACCCACTTTTTAGAATATATAGTCAAAAGATAAATCACTGCTTTTTGTAGTAATTAAGCACTGTATTTAAAAATTAAGATGTCTGCTTAATTTTTAGCATTACATGTGAACAATGGTCCTTAAGTTACTTAGCATTCTTTGACAATTTTGTTTTTCACATTTAGGAAATTAGTTAATTAGGAAGCATGCAGACAATTCATTAAAGTACTTATTTGCAGAAACCAATCTATCACCTACGATAGACCTTCAGAGGCATGTAGTAGAATTAAGAACATTAAGTAAATCACAATGCAGCCGAGTCTTTATGTTCTCCTTACACTTTACCACACTCAATTTGGACTCTTAACCAAATACAAGCAAATGTTTATAACTCCACAAATGTTATTAATATGCCAGGCAATTTTATACAAACCAAATAAAGGAAAAATAGACCAGAGGTTTCTGTTAATTTTTTAAAATATTACAAAAATTAAAAATCCTATTCCAAAAAATTGAATATAAAATTGCATCCTAAAATGCACAAATTATTCTGCAGCATGACAGATACAGAAAGAAATAGGGGGGAAATTAGTATTATTTTTCTAGCCTGTTCACCCATATCTACGTTTAGGCAGTTCGCTTGAATGCTACTGATACTTTAGTTTGAATGTTTAACACAAAGCTTCAGAACCTTTTGAATACTTTTTTTCTCTCAGCATAAACTCTTGGGAGGTTTAAAATCAACCAACAATCTTAAAACTGTGGGCCTAAACACTGTTAAATTGGAGTTTGGCATAAGTCAGTGCAACGTAATTGTGTATAATATGTGCAAAGAATTGGACTTTAAAATCTAAATTTCAGGGTAAACGGAGCCAAACACCCTTTCCTGTTTTGCCTCTATTATAAAAGCTACTGAAGATAGTACTCCATATACTTTCCATATGGTGAACATAAAAGCCTTTTCATTACCAAAATGAAAGCTGAGTTGTGAGATTATTATGATGCCTCATTACTAGTTGCTGTAATCTAAATTATAAAATATAAAAATTGATTTAGAAGAACCATTTAAACAGTAATACAATTTTAAAACTGAAGAGGTATTGTTCTGGTCACTAAGCTTTTAAAGAAACAATCTGCTCAGTTTACATTTTCTTTTGACTCATCTAATGAAATAAAAGAAAATGTTGGAAATCAACCCAGTTCTTTATACACATTAAAGGAAGGCAATGAACTATAACAGATTTACTTTGTAATGCTGCAGTTAATGTAACGGGATTAAAATTAACTTGCAGCACCAATTGATATACCAGAGGCTAAGATATATTTTGATATTATCTACTGCTCACTTTCCTATTCTGCCTAGTAAGTAAAAAACAGAAAACTTTGAAAAGCAAACTAGTGGGACATGCTGCAAAGGCAGCCCCCAAACTGTTGTTCGGCCTCCCTGACTTAAAAAGCAGGTTGAGGGTTTGACCCAAGAGCGACTCGAAAGGAAACGTGAACACAATTTCTGCTCTCCCTGCAGCTTCTCTTTATTCTGCCCCCACACCAAATCCTCAATCCACTTCTGAACTATGAAGCTGAAAAGCAGTTCAAATTCCATGCAGTCAGCTTCAGCAGGAGAGGTTAATCCTCCTCCTCCTCCTCTGATTCTGATGTTTAGACAACACAATCAATTTTCTGAAAGCACTATTTTTTTATTTTAAAATATTTGAGAGTATTAAAAATAACTATAGCACCTCTGAGAAAATTAGTTTACAAGCCTCTGAAAATCAAGCTTGAAAATACTGGTAATCTAATGAGAATATATCAGTGATACAAATAAGAAGGCCAAGAAAAAGGGTGAAAATCCTCCCATAGTTTTTTTTTCTTGAAAACTGAAATAAAAAAGAGTATGAAATATCTTCTTTCAGAAAAACTGATAAATGTAACACGGTGTTTTCTATGTAAGAAGAAGATCTTTAGGTAAGGTTAATATAGAATATCAGATCATCCCAGTATCTAATCTTGGTTTCCTTTTATGGGTGTGTTACAGCTGCTAGGTACAATGAGAAACTTTTGTGTTACTTTGTTCTTTGCTTTACTAATGTTGATGATTTGTCCTGTTTTTATTGGGCATTGTTTGTTTCCTCCTCATAAACCAGCAAAATTAAAGTATAATTCAGGAATTCCTGAATTAGGATGTTCTTGCACCATACATAGCAAAAACTTAGATTCAGAAAAGCAAATTAAAATTCAATTTATTTATTAAAAAGCTGTCTAGCCAAGTTCCATTTAATGAAGTTTATATTCCTAAAAGAGTAATAAAAATTACTTTCAATTGGTAATGGGCTCAAATATTGCATTTTTATGCTTATTCAGAACATTTCTCATCCCCCCCCCCCCCAAAAAAGAGAAAAGCTTCCCCCAAATGTTCAAAATGTCAAAAAAACTGTATATAACTGCTACATCATTAAAATAGTAAGGGACTACCATTTCTGAAGTATATATATCCATAGAAAGAGTTCAAGGGGAATTTGTGTTACAAATAATAAGTTCATGATTGAAGGAGTTTTAAAAAATGCCTCTTGATTAGCAGTTATTTAAGCAAGATATATTATTATCAGTGTATTTTTTCAGTTGAGTCTCGTAATGCCCTCATATGCAGAGCATATGGGTGCTCTTCTTTTTTCAAGAGAACTATTTGCTGGTTGCATATCTTCTTGCCCCTATCAAGGAGATACTGTAAGCTATTTGGCAGTATTAAATAAATAAAAATAACGCTGATTTTTATTGTAATTGAACTTACATTTGAGGATAAAGGATACACCCACCAGGTTTCTAAGATTATATTTGTCCATGTATATTAATATACAGTGTATTAAATCTCTAAATAATTACAGTGACCAATGATTGTTAATGAGGAAATTCCCTGCCACTGGAGGGAAACTCAAAAGGAAATTTAACATAGAAACACAACTTATTCAATATTACATCAACATAAAACACTGAACATGTAAATTAAGCACATTCACCACCACCCCCATCACACTTGTGTGTTTGTGTGTGAGAGAGTGGGTGCGTTTAAACTAGTTCATACCTTTTGCAACCATTTGACACCAGACATTGACCCCCTATTGTTTAACTTCCTAAACTTCCTTGATCTATAACTTCAAGTTGAAAGACTGCGGTGGGAGGCAGGGTAAAAACCATACACAGAATCTCCAAAACTCCTCTGAACACTGTTCCGTGGCTCTTTCAATACAGAGGATTATCTGAAAGTAGATAATCTCTACTATGAGACCTGGACTCATGCCAAGGTTTCTACAAAGCTAAGAACCTCCTGGAGAACTTTTAGCATCCCCTGCCTGGAGAACTGGAAACTTAAAGAGATATTTCAAACACAACCTCTTTGCTGGCAGTAAGCCTTTCTTTTCTTCCGTCAAAATATCTGGGTCACCAACAGCTGAAGTGAGCATCCTAATAAATCACAAGCCCAAAGTACAACACCACAGTCCGCTGAAAAGTGATCCAAGTACAAGTGACTTCCTGGTGGCAATTCTTATCTTGCATGTATTAGTATCCTCTTTTACTTTGTACATTAGTAAAGCAACTCAATAATGTATGGCATATGTATCAGTCTTTTCAAAGACTAGATTTTTACAATATTGTATACATATTCTAATACTAACAATATGTTATTCTAGAAAACAGCAACCACACGTTTACAAGTCTTAGTATATCCTAGAAAAGGATGGCATTTCAGACAGAAAGAACAAAAGAGTAAGAAAATATTACGATTAATATGCCCTAACAACAACAATTGTGCAGTAGTTCTTAACCTATGAACAATAATTGGACAACCACATCAACTATTAGGAATACATAACTCCTGAACTAAAAATGCATCAGAGGTCTAAGGCACACATTTGTTTTACAATTGGTGCTATTAAAAAAAGGATAAATCCTAAGAGTATCATTCATGCACATAGAATAATTCAAGAACAATTTCTAAAGTACAAAATACTCAGATGACACATGTAGAGAAATTGTTTATGTTAATGGCATCATAAATTACAAAGCCTGCTTTCAAAGACATACAAGGTAAACTCACCTATGCCTTCTCTCTTCATCCTTTAAAACCTCATATATGGCCACCAACTAGAATAAAAATGTACTTTTACTTTAAAAACCCCAACATAAAACAGGAAACACTCAGATATGCCACAGATATGCCAAAAAACAAACAAAACCCAAACATACTAGCCTTTTTTTCTCAAAGTGAGAACTAAAAAAAGTTCAAAGCATTTTGTGCAACATTAAACTTCTCAACCAATTCTAATATCTTTTCCATCCCTCCATTTTCTAAAACTGCTTTAATTTTATATTGAATATAAATGATTTATTTTTAAACATACTTTACTACCACAGTAATATTAATAGCTATTTCCATATATTCAACTAAGTCAGTTATATTTTAAAAAGTAGTATGCCTAACAAAAAACCCCACAGTATACATAATTATATAAATATTATGTAATGTATTTGCTTGCTAAATATTTGTTGTCTATTTCCACTTTCAAGCAAACCATGATGCATGTGGCATTGTACCATTAAAGAGGAAGAAAGTTTTTTTTCTGCTCTTCTTATCATATAAGACTTTTACTCTTCCCCCTTTGACTTGCAAAAAATAAAGCAAAAAATGCTTCCAAATCATTACTAAGTACTACTTCGGAATAAAAATTAAAATTTACTGGAAGATCTTAATGGGCACTTGATATTACAGTATAGAGTATACAATATAGGCACTTACCTGCCTAAACTGGGTTTCTGCGTTTTCATCCTTATTCTTGTCTGGGTGTAATATTAGTGAAAGCTTCCGATACGCTTTCCTAATATCTGCTGATGAAGCATCCTGCAAAACACAAAGCAAACTTTGTCAGAAATGAATTCCCAGAACCTTGTTAAGATCTGAGAAGACAGCCAACCAAGTGCAGGGACCTGAGGCGATGTAATTTGAGCAATCATTCTTAACAGCCGGAATATGCAGCCAGCCTGGCCCACATGACTGAACAATCAGTCAATCTAATTTTGTTCTCCTCTTAACTTCTTTCAATGCCATGTGCTCATTACAAGAAGATAGTATTTGCCAGAAACTTTCAAACACTTGCTTCCTTAAAATTAGCCAATAAATCTTCAGCAGCAATTAAGAGATCAAACAGACAAATTAAAATTAATATGTCTGCATATCCTCGAGAATATCCTCTTTTACTCAAAAGGTTACGTTCATTTTTGCAAGTTTTGTGCATTGGGAAATGATGCCCTCCAATACTAAAATTACAGCCCTATTAATTCCTTGAAAAAACATTTCTAAACAAACTATACTTTCTAAACAGCTGAAACAGGGCTTCCAAAGCAATCAGCTTGCATTTCATGAAGAGTATAAACAATAGCAGTGTTCCTCTATTTGGTTTTGTTTTTCTGTTCATCAAGGCTGATCTTACTTATTAATTTCATTTTTAGAAGTACAAATCCTATTTCTAAGAGGAGACAGAATGGAGAATGTTACATTTGATCCCTACCACTTCTGTTGAAGAAAACATTGCATGTATTACCCACTGGAAAAACATACCAAGACCATTACATATCTCATTTGTAAAAACATGAGTTTAATGATAAACATGTCAGAGGCAACGCATCCTGAACAGCAAAACATAACCACGGCAAGAGGCTTCAGCAAGATGTACACAAGGCAGTCTATGACCCCAAAACACTTTTAGATAAAGTGAAAGTCTTGTCAAGAAAATTAGGCATAAGGATTTGGTTGCCAAGTAGTATTTTATTTCAAATTAAAGATATATGTGTAGGTATAACAAAATATCTAAAAGGATCATTCTGTCTATAACTGCAAACCTACTACTATGGGTCAAATCTGAAAGAAGACCAAAAACTTTAAGAAGGCAAAAGAAAGACAATTAAAGCAGCATTGTAATTAGTCTGTCAAACCATTCAGTACAAAGCACTGTTTTCATTACAGATTTATAGAACTCAGACTAAAACACTTCAGGCCAAAAAGGAATAATTGGGGGAGGGGGGAGCATGTAGTGTATGAGGGAATGTCTGAGTGTCTGTGCCATATATGCACTTGGAAACTGCAGTCAAAAATAAGATATAAATAACCAATTAGAAATCATCTGAAAAACAGAAACATGAAAATGACATGTAGATTTCATGCCTTTTCCTCAACAGAAGTGCTTGCATCTATGTAAGAAATGCTTAGTATAGGCATCCCCGAATTCCAAACACCCAACTTACAAATGACTCATAGCTAAGGACAGGGATGAGACAACAGGAAGTGGGAAAATTACCTCTAGGAAGGGAAATTCACTCCTGAAAGAGCTATCATGGGAAAAGATGCCGCAACTCAAGCTTTATCTCCAATCCTTGTTTCCACTGTAAAGGATTTTTTTTTCAAAATCCAATTATCACAGAGACAGAAAGTATGGTAAAATCTTCTGAACAGGGGCACAGACAGCAAAACAAATACTACTTTGGTATTCACTCTTTCCTATTCTATCCAAATCTTGTGTGTGTGTGTGGGGGGGGGGGGGCACGGGACTGGAGTTATCTTGAAAAAATATACCAGTTCCCACTTACAAATTCAACTTAAAAACAAACCTACCTATGTTGGAAAGAAAGGAAAGAATGCCAAGTTGTTTGAATAGAAAAGAGAAATAAGTTACACAAAATTCCAAAGGTCACTTTTCATAAATCTAAGCTTCTGTTTGGCTAAATTCCCTTGTCTACCCTGAATTTACAATATTAAATTGTGAGTTGCCTATGGGCTGAGAGGGGCAGTATATAAATGTAGCAAATAAATAAATAAATAAATAAATAAATAAAATTAAGAAGTAAGCCTTATTAAACACAGCACATTTTTGTTCTGATGCATCTGACTACATGAAAGTCAATGGAATATTTCCCTGGGATTTTATCTGGAGTGTTACAATAGCCACAAAACATTTGCTACAGACTATTTTGTAAATCATGTGATAGATGAGAGGTTTATATTTATATTAAATTATTTTAATATCTCTTCCAAGAATTATAATAAACCTGTTAATGCAAGATTGCAACCTCTCTTATCCCAATATTACTCAGAGCTAGGAGAAGATAAAAAAGTATGAAAATAGTTCATTTCAAACTCGGCATAATGAATGTAACTATAGAGTGAAAAGTGGCTTCATTTCTACACAGACAACCAATATGTTAGGTATGTAAATTATGTAATTTAGGAGCTAGGAATCTCCATGTCCACCTACTACTCCAGCAAGATGCCTCGCTAATACAATTTTATTATGTTTGGACATGGCTATGAGGAGTTGTGTTAGCCAATGCAATATTAACCATGACTTTGCAGTCAATTAGACTAGGACAAAATGTGTTTAGCATCTGTCACTTAATTGCAATTAAACTCAAGGGGATGAGGCAAGAGGAGAGAAAGAGGGTGAATCCAGGAAAAATAATGTTTAGCACCATGCCATGTTTAGGCAATACAATGATCCCCTATGCTAATCTGAAAGTTGCTATGGTTGTTGATTTCTGCCATGCCCTATGAGGAGCGACTGAGTCTGTTTAGCCTGTAGAAGAGAAAGTTGAGAGGAGACATGATAGCCATGTATAAATATGTGGAAGGATGTTATAAGTAAAGGGACCCAGACTTGTTTTCTGCTGCCCTGGAGACAAGGACTCAGAGCAATGGGTTCAAATTACAGGAAAAGAGATTCCAATTGAACATTAGGGAGAATTTCTTGACTGTTCAACAGTGGAACTCACTGTCTCAACATTTTGGCTGATGGAAAGGAAGCTCCTTCATTGAAGGCTTTTAAACAGAGACTGGATGGTCGTCTGTCAGGGGTACTTTGAGAGTGGTTTTCCTGCATGGCAGAAGTTGGGCTAGATGGCCCATGTGGTCTTTTTCAACTTTATTATTCTATGCTTCATACTTCCCTCAAACCTGGGACTCAAGCCAAGAATTTTAACAATTTCATACACAACACTGTTCATAAATTTTTATTGTTATTATTGGTAGCATCTACTTTTGTACTCTCTAGTAATTGTGTTTATAAAATCTTTGCTTTGAACACATTCCCACCATTCTAAAATTTTCAGACTTGCAATCCCAAAATAAAACTATTCAATAAATTCTTACTCTTAACAAAATACAGGTCTAGGCTCCAGAGTTTTTATTTCCACTCAATGACAAAGAAAACAGACTACCAGAACATCTCTTCCAAAAATGTTTTCTTTTACATATCCACATTTGGGATTGTGGGCAAAATATTCCAAAATTTTGATACTCCTGTACTAGCATTTCGATTTTTTTTTTTCATTTTCACCCAGAAACTGGGGCCTTTTGGCATCAGGAATTCAATAATCCGGTGAGCATAATCTAGAAGACTGCTTTGATAGTGGCTACTTGTGCCAAAGCAAAGAGAATAACAGCATTCCAATCAGCTCTGATATGGGGTGATGTTTTGTCTAAGATATTATTATTTTTTTGCTGAGAGTAAATCAGCAAAACATAGTAAGAGAGCTCATGTGGTTGAATACTCTTCAACACAGAAAGACCAATGCCTACTGAACAGAAAAACTAGATGCCACTTCTCCTTACTAATCTATCTCTAGAATTTGGGTTTGTAGATGGTCTGGGGATATAGAACCAGCCCTCCACATACTAATCACAGCTTGAAAATATTCAGAGAATTTCAAAATGGAAACCTTGGTGTGTTTTTTTTTTTTCATTTTATAGAAGGGGCACATTGTATATAGTGGGATTTGAGTTATCTATGCATTTTGGTATCCATGGGGAACCAAAAACTCACTGGATAAGATTATTAAACTACATAATTCCACCATTTGCAGTCTCCACTAGTGTAGCCCAGAACTGATTAACCTGACAGCTTGGCTGATAAATCTACCTTTGTCTTTCTAAAGAAGCCTATTGCAAAATGAATTAATGCACATTTCAATCTAGATGGCAACAGAATTTCAAAGAGCATTTTTTTTTGTTATGTTCAGGTTAGTAATCAGAATGCTTACATTGATTCTCTGCCATCTCTCCCCTACTCCTCATAACCTATATTCCTTCCCATGGATAAGAATTCATCACACTGCTGATTAAAGGCCATGCTACTACATAAACAAGCATTTGCTCCAAAATAGGATTCTATTAACCACAGGCATTGTTTAAGCTACCATTTCATGTCATTAACTCATCTAATCATAGTGAAGTAGGTGCATATACAGCTTTTAACCATGACATTGCAAGAAAACCATGTGTACAGTTCAAAAGATAGACATCTGAAAAATATGCACAAACAAATGTTGGTGAATAAAGGAAAGCATGAATATTATGAAAACCATACAGTAGTTACATGTAGGAGAGCCATCATGTTTTAACGGTTTTAACATAGGGCTACGACTCCCAACAGGATTTAAATCCCTGTTCAGTTGTGGAAACTACTGAATGGTCTTAGAAAGACACTATCTTTCAACTTCAGAGAAAAGCAAAAGCAAGCCCCTTTCTGAAAAAAATGCCAAGAAGACCCTGTGATAGGTTTATCTTAGGGCCCTATAAGTCAGAATACAACAATACATTTCTAGACAGGAATGGAAAAAAACCTAAGTGGGATTTCAAGAAAATTGATAGAGTTAAAGGTGATCATTTTTTATATCACTAGCACTTGTCCAAAGCGACTTGAGTTTCTGGCAAACAAGACACTTCTTGATTTGTAATTTTATTACTTTGCCGCTATGAAACAACACTAGCCTCCATATAGACACCAGTCACACCAAAGACTTATTTCAGATACTATGTTCTGTTTTTTTAAAAACTGATGGAGAGAAACTACG